TTTTTTTTTTTTTTTTTTTTTTTATGTAAATCAAATGGGGAAGTTTTTTTTCTTTTTCCCGAACAATTCGATCATAAAAAAGCACTTTTAATCAAAACTCGCAATTCCCGCGCGCGCTAATCAAGTTTCTGCCGACGACATTATTCTTGAACGGAGCTAATTCGCTCGCGCGCGCGCGCGTGTGAATTAGCAGTTTGTGCGTATCACGTGCCGTATAATGTCGCCGCGAGTCGTCTATGGCTATGCGGCATTATTCTAATTTGATCGACGTAAGTCAATTATCCACATGAAAGGGAGCCTAACTCCTCGTGCCTGGCGGCTGAAGCCTCGAACGCACACACGTGTTCAATAGACTGACGGACAAATCCGTTTACCACGGAGAGAGAGAGAGATACGAAATAAAGGGACTCGCGGCGCACCAAACAACGCTCTTAAATGCGGTTTGCTCACTCGATGAGACGATCGAGTCTCGTCGGCGATCGATAAACGGAGATTGTCCGGAAGAAACGGTCGTTCTGTTCGTTTCATGATTCATCTCTCTGACGGTCCGGCAAAATATACATTCGATCTTTATTTAAAACACACAAAAAAAAAAAAAAACTAGTTTTGAGTTAGTCTTTAGATTATATATTCAGAGACGCGCGTCGCGTTATAAAAGATGAGAGTCTTTTACCGAAGACACACAGAGAGGAGGGCAAAGAGCTCGCGCAATCTCGCGTTTTTCTCTTCGTCGTTTATCTTTATATGAAAATAACAAGCTGTTTATGGTTTATTGTCTCGCTAAAGGAGATGAACACCGCGGCTACATCGGATATATCGCTTCAGATATCTTTTCGATTATGTTTCTCTCTCTCTCTCTCTCTCTCTAAAAAAATAAAGCAACTATCTATCTATCTATCTGTCTCACGCCTTATTATCAGAAACTACAATGGCTCAAGTTAAAGTCAAGAAGGAAGTATTTCATAGGCAATATTCTTTTTTTTAAAATATTGGAAACTGAAAGACCTCGGATCTTGTATGAAAGATACTCTCTCAGAGATTCACAATTTAACTTATGGCACTTATGGCGATATCATTTATCTGTATCTCTGTTGATACGTGGAATGACATTCCAGTAGACATACGCAACGAACGCCTCTATACTTTTAAAAGAAAATTTTTTGAATATCTGTTGGCTTATTAGTGTTTAAAAATTAGCTTTGTTTTTTATGTTAATTTTATGTTAATTTTTCTTTTTCTTTTTTTCTTTTTTACTCACTTCTTATATATTTTCTCTTTTTGTTTTGTTTTTTATTAATATTATTTGTATTAAATTTTGTTAAAGTTTTTTTAACGCTTGAGGGGATCTCATCCCAGAGCGTAAATAAAGCAAAATCAATCAATCAATCAATCAATCTCTCTCAATCTTTCTCTCTCTATCTCTATCTCTCCGTCCGTGAAGATGGAATCGGGGGATTATATTTAAAATCGCAGTTTTATGAACGGAGTACGTCTCTCAGCGGGTGAGTCCCGAAAGTTTTGAAGAACAATCTACGCCCAAGACGACCATTCCCGTGATTTGTGGAAACACGACTTCACCGTGAGATTCAATTTTCGCCGATGCTCAAGTTATCGGCATATCTTAAGCCCGTAGCTTGGCACTGCTCCCGACGACTTACGGATATATATATATATATATATATATACATACATATATATATATATATATATAGGGTGTGTCTCCCATTCTTCTGCGCGCGTTTTCTTTCGAAATCGTTTTCTCTCTCTCTCTCTCTCTCGGATTCGATGCGGAGAACTTTTTTAATTAAAAAAGAAGGCGACGGGAGAGGGGACGGCGGCAACACGGTCTCGGATTTATTTCAGAGCCTTTGTATAACTTCCGCCGCGCGCGATCCGGTGTACACACGCCGCGTATATTTATCAAAAAGTTATTTCATTCGCGATATTTATCAAATTGATGATATCAATGTGCAATATCGCGGAAAAACAAAATATCTGAATACACTATTTATATCGCGCGCGTAATACGATGCCGATCGCCGCGAACGGCCGCGTACGGGGGGGGGATATATCTGGTTATCGTCTCTCGCTATCTATCTACCCCCAATGCTGACCAGCAGCGCGCGAGGCGGCAAGGCAATCCCCGGGATCGGGATTTCCGAGGGAACGAGGAAAATTCGCGGAGTGGCGCGTTTCGGTGCTTCAGGAACGCGCATCTCGTTCCATCGCGCGTGCTATCGGCGGCACGAAATTCGCCGACATGGCATAGCTCGCATTCGCCCCGATGGAGATAAGCCGGCCGGAGTTGTGCGCCGAGAGCGCGGACGCGTTTGTGTATAGGTATATATATAACGCGCGCATCATCTCCCTACGGGAGATTTGGTCACGGTCAGGGACGTGCGGTGTAATTGCGACGAAAGACGCGAGCGGAGAGAAGACGCTTCCCTCCCCTCACACACGGAGTCAACTAATTGACTCGAGTCAACACAAGTCGCAATAAATGAAAAACACCTGTATAACGCGCGCGCGATCGTCCGCTTCATTGTACGAATTAATCTTCGAGATCGCTCGAAAAACGATGAAACCACACACACAAGGAAGCGAACACGAGAGATGTGAAATTATCGAAAGAATCGAAGATCAACAAGTTGGCTCGCGAGAAAAAAAAAAAAGTCTTCTCTCCTCAAGGATCTGATAAAAGATCTGAAAATAATTTTCTCAAGTGTGTGTATCTTACGCAAAACAAAAAAAAAAAAAAAAGAAAAAGAGAGCGATAGCGTGTAGATCTTTCACGGAAAGTAATTTCGTCGGGGGTTAAAGTAAAAAAATGCGAATCACACGTACATTTATTACGTACGCGTTTATATGTATATATATATATATATATATACGTTCTATACATTATTCACTCGGCACGGGAGCGCACGTGAAAGATTCATTATTTGATGGCAATCTCATCTGCACAGTAAAAGATGTATCAGCCCGGCGCTTGGACCATCCTATATATATATATACACACACACACACGCACACATACGCGCGCGCGCGATGAGATTAATCTTCGCCGCTCTCTTCTCCGCGTGCGATAACGCGGAGTGTTTTCCCAGTTTCGTGCGATAAAACGAATATTCTATTGTTTGAAATCCACTTGATGGACGCGCGCGCGAACCGCTCGTGTACATAGGTAACGAGAATTTAATTAAAATTTCTTTAATTATGATCACACACACACACAAATTGAATTTTATTATGCCGACACACGCGCAACGCGCTAATTGTTGCGAGGTTGTATATATATACACGATTATTATTTATTTGCATTATTATTATCTAACGACGCGTAACGTTTATTGCGCCATTTGTGAGACAAAGAGAGTTTCGAGAACTCCTAGAAAGAGAGAGAGAGCTGTGATCCTTCGTTCTGTACTCACAGGTATGGTAAGACTGTACGACGCGCCGATCTTCAACCATATACAACCCGTGAAGGTGTTGGAGGATCAGGACGTGGAAGAGCTAAAGAAGCAACTCCCGTGGAATCATGACGCGCCGCGTTATTCGAGAGATACTCTTAAAACGCTCAAGGGAAGGACGGACGTGTCGAAAAAGCGCCGGAAAGGTCCGGACGAGGGCAGGAAGAAGAGGAAGAAGGAGAAATCCTTGTCTAAATTATCCGCGGCGAGAAGATTAAACGAGACCGCGTTGTCTCAATTGGACGTCAGTTGCTTCTCGAAGATCTTCGGAAAACCGATCGTTAGCGCTCCCTTCATCGAACACGCCGTTCCCGTCAAATACGCCAGGTAGCCGCATCTTCGATCACAAGAGAGTATCGAAAAATAATTTAAGAGATATTTTCCAAGTGACAGAAAATAAATAGCGTTGAAAAAAATTATGTGTGCAAATGTTTTTTTTTCAAACACACACCGAAAAAATTATATTCTTGTAAGTAGAAGATTTTATACTTAAAAAATCTTCTTAAAGGTTTTAGATGATATTCTTCTGAAATTAAGAATATATTATTAATTTAAGAATATAGTCTTTTTCGATAGTGAGATATATATATGTTTTTCTATAGAGGCTTTTTATATTCTAATCAGTATATATTCTTATCAGTATTACTATTTAGAAGATTTTCCTCTTAAAATAAGAAACTCTTCTTGGCGCCTATTTTAGTATAAAATATACTTAAAGTAAGTGGGATATCCTCAAAACAAGAATACAATTTTTTCGGTGCACACATGTCGTTTTATTTATACTTTTTTGTCTCTATTTACGTTACAAAATGTCACTACGTTGCTTAGAAATAGACGCACAGACGATAGTTTGTGTAGAAATGTATTTAAAGACGCTTGGAAACATATTGTTCCACAGAAGGAAGAACGTATTGCCGCCCTACAATCGATATCTCGTTGCGGTGTACGAGTGCGCGGACGGTTACGTTTTCCAGGATTCGACGACGGACAGGCTGTTTTGCAGCAAAAGCGCCTGGCTCGGACGTCGTCCCAAATGCGTAAAGAACGGTAGCAGTGAGTTAAAAAAAATTTCAAGCAACTTTTTTACTTAATCCTAAACTGCAGACGCAATAATCGAGTTGCGAATTGTATCATGTATTTTGTTTTGTTCTCGGCAATTGTGTGTAATTTTTTAATTTAATATATATTTTTTGTTTTGTTTTTTTGTACAACAACTTGTTTCGTCCGAATGCGCATCACACGCCGTCTTAGAACAACCATCGATCAATCAAGTGAAACGTTGCGCTCAGGCCAGAGGTGAATGCGAACACGTGTGCGAGGATACACCAATCGGTATAAAGTGTTCCTGCTTCGATGGATTTCGAACTGAGGGATCTTCCTGTATAGGTAATAATCCAGTGTGCTCGCACGATCTTGGCGATAGATAAGAGATAAAGGATAAGGAAAAAAAAGGTAGCGAGAAAGAACGCGTTAAATTTTACGACTAGGAGCGAATCACCCCTGAGTGATTTTTGACGGAGATTCCGGACTTTAACACACATCGCCGCATGCGTGTTCCGAGCTTTTCTATTACGCTTTTTTTTTTTATCAAAGTCCAAAACTTTCGTCCGACATCCGATATTCCCCGTTCTTCTCGAAATTCGCACTGAAATTTGCATATATCTTTTCTTTCTCGCATCGACCGTCCGTTTCGTATCGATTTCGTCGCGCTCGTCGCGCTTTCTGATGTACTATTCACCCCCCCCCCCTTCCTCTCGATGCGCCAATTTCGCGTTTATCGCGCTTACAATTTACGCCCCCCGATCCGAGGATCGGGGAAACCGTGTGTGTGCGTTTGCGCGAGAATATCATCGCATCGTATTTGTGTTCGCGATATGAAAATAATTTCAAACAGATATATATATGTACAATATATGTATGTATGTATATGCATAACTCGCATAATTTTATCACCCCCTTCCGAAAAGCGAATATACGCGCTCGAACACCTTGATAATGGGATTATCGATTTTGGCACATATCGGATTATTTAAGAGTCGAATTGCGCATATTGTTGCGCGATATCGAGTTTAAAAGCTGTTATCGACTCGGGCGTTTCTCCGCGTTTACCGCGTCCTCGTCAATATGCGGAGATACATATCTATACAGATCGTGTTCCAATATCTAGTTCGAAAACTGCTTGATCAACGTGTAATTTAGCTCAGTGTTACACACACCGGATGATATCTCGGCGTATATCGACAACATATATATATAAACGAATTATGACACGGTCAAAATTGGTAAATCAAAATCAATATGACACACAGTTTGTTTTCGGCACAATTGATTTTTGTGCCACGATCTCTGTTCTCTCTCGCAATTCTTTCTATTTTCTTCGATATTATTTCAGACGTCGACGAGTGCGCGGAAGGCACAGCGAGATGCAGCCATATCTGTCGCAACGAAGCCGGTTCTTACTCCTGCGATTGTCAACCCGGTTTTCACGTGGGAACCGATGGTCGCAGTTGCCACGGTTAGTCATGAACCGAAAAAGAAATGTTTGTGACACACGCCAATTTTATTTAATGCTGATTTTATGATATTTAAATTCGAATAAAAATTTACATATTGTATTTGTTATATTTTAAACGCTGCGATTTTATTTATTTTCTTCTCTCTCACTCTCTCTCTCTCTTTTTTTCTTTCTCTAATTGAATTAAACATTTTTAAATGTTACATGTAATTTAAATACAATTCATTGTTCGCAAAAAAATCTTGCGAATGGAATAGCGCGATGATTTTATACACGTTAAAAGCTGCATTTGATAAATGAGTCATATTGCTCGATGGCTACACGTAATATATATACATATATATATATATATATATATATATATATATATATATATATATATATATATATATATATATATATATCGCTCAGATGTGAACGAGTGCCTCTCGAACAACGGGCACGGACCTTGCCAAGGTACTTGCCACAATCTCGAGGGTAGTTACGAGTGCAGTTGCGCGAATATTCCTGGATACAAATTAGCCGCCGACAATCACACTTGCGAGGACATCGACGAGTGCGCGTTGAATAACGCGAATTGTTCTCATCTCTGCTTGAACACACCTGGAAGCGCCTTCTGTCTCTGTCCGGACGGCTTTTATTTGACAGACGACTGGAAGACTTGTCAAGGTGGATATTTCACGCACATTTCACGTTGAATTTTTTCGATTGATATTTTTTATACATTCTCTCGCAGTTTTTCTCACAATTTTATTACACAACAAATCTCTATAGAAGTTTTTTTATTTCTCTTTAAAGATTTATTGTTGATTTGTAATATATCTATTCGTTATATACATTTTCGTCTACGGTGAATAAAAATTTTCACAATTAACGTCGATGGAGATTTTTTATTTAAAACTGTATAATTATAAGCGAAATATATTATTGAAAAAAATGTACGAACGAGAGATTTAAATAAAAGACATTTATGTTACCAAAGAGGTGATATTTTAAAGAATAAAATTATAATTGTCTATTGACCTAACCAAACGCGTCCAAATTTCGGACCGTCCAAAAATGTGACTTCACACGAAACGTATTCGGCACGACGGAGAGTTGGCGAGACATTTGCACTCTACGTGTTACATTCCTCCCCCCCGTTACTGATTTTTTCCGACGAAGAGATCTAATTTAACCTGAGCGACGGTTCTCATCAAGCTCGATCTTGTATCTCGTAGAGTATCAAAACACACAAATCTTTCGCTCTCGCTTCAAGAGAAGAGCTCGAAGTATTTTCTTTCTTCAGATGTTAATGAGTGCGAAACGACGTCCGAGATTTGCGCGGCGAACGCCGAGTGCTTAAACACGGTGGGTTCGTACAAGTGCGTAAGTAAGACACACTCGCATAAGGTAACAAAAATCCTTCGCGAAGAGGACTACGACAGCGAAGACGACGACGACGACGACGACGACGACGACAGGGAACAAATTACCGAAAATCCGGGGTGCGAGGACGGTTTCAAGAGGAACGAAAATTTCGAGTGCGTCGGTGAGTCCGTCGCTGTCTCTGATAAAACATTTTAAAACGTACCTCAACAACCTCTTTCCACCACAAACCGCCACGACATGTTGTTTTTTTTTTTTGTTTTTTTTTTCAGATATAAACGAGTGCGTGGAACTGGAATCGCACGGTTGCCAGCACGAGTGTGCGAACGAACCCGGCGGCTATCATTGCTCTTGTCGCGTCGGTTACGAGCTCGAGGAGAACGGAAGGACGTGCAGGGACGTGGACGAGTGTAACAAATCGTCCCGGCCTTGTTCTCATATCTGTCGCAACCTCGTCGGCGCTTACGTGTGCGAGTGTCCGATTGGATTTTCTTTGACCGACGACAACGCGACCTGCGTTGTCGAGGAGCCGAGAACAAATTGCGACTCTCTCACGGTCCCGTGTTCTCACGTATGCGAGGACACCGATAACGGGCCCCGATGCGTCTGCCCGATCGGTTACGAATTGTCGGACGATCGGGCGACTTGCCTGGACGTCGACGAATGCGCCCGGGGAGAAGCTCCTTGCTCGCACAGTTGCGTCAATTTGAACGGCGCCGGTTTCGTATGCGCCTGTCCCGACGGCATGGAGATCATCGGACACGCGAGCAGATTTAATTGCACCGACGTGAACGAGTGCGACAGAGGCTTGCACGGTTGTCAGCACCAATGCGCGAATTCGCACGGCAGTTACGTGTGTAACTGTCACCCGGGATTTGTCCTGAACGTCGACGGCAGATCCTGCGCCGACGTGGACGAGTGCGCGGAAAATCAACACGACTGCTCGCACGTGTGCGAAAATCATCCCGGGGGATACAGCTGCGGCTGTCCGAAGGGATATCGCGTCGACCAGGATGCGCGCACTTGCGTAGACGTGGACGAGTGCGCGGAGAACGCTGACGAATGTTCGCACGAATGCGACAACGAGCCGGGCGCTTACAAATGCGTGTGTCCCGCGGGATACGAGATCGGCCGGGACGGGAGAACGTGCGAAGACGTGGACGAGTGCGCGCTTGGCACGCATCGGTGTTCCCACGATTGCGCGAATCTGGCGGGATCGTACGGTTGCGAGTGTCCGGACGACATGTTTCTGGACGATACCGAGACGAATTGCGTTCTTGCGAACGTGTGCGAGAACGCGAATTGCAGCCAGGTCTGCGAAAAGGATGGGAACACATTCAGATGCGTCTGTCGAGAAGGTTACGTTCTGCAAGAGGACGAGATATCTTGTCGGGACGTCGACGAGTGTCTCGAAGACGAGCACGATTGTTCGCACGAGTGCGTCAACACGCCAGGAAGTTACAAGTGCGCTTGTCCCCTAGATATGAGACTTCTCGAGGACGATCTCACCTGCGAGAATCTGATGTGTCCGCCAGGACTTCGACGGGACGACAACGGACATTGTGGTCTGGATATCGACGAATGCCTCGAGGCCTCGCACGAGTGCTCGCACTTGTGTTTCAACGTACCCGCGTCTTATCGTTGCTCGTGTCCCGAAGGATACGAGTTGCAGGATGACGAAAGAACGTGTCGGGATGTGGACGAATGCGCGAGAGATCTTCACGATTGTTCGCATAAGTGCGTGAATCGAGATGGCGGTTTTGATTGTCAATGTCCGGAACATCTGGCGATCGACAGGGACAACAACAAGACCTGCACCGATGTGCGGGACGTGTGCGCGCGGGCGCACAACTGCAGTCACACCTGCGTGAATATCTTGAACGGTTACAGATGCGAGTGTCCCGACGAATTCGAACTGTCGTTCGACGGCGCAACTTGCGTGAGAATCGATCCTTGCGACGATCGTCACGGTTGCTCGCACGAATGCGTGAGCGAATCGAACGGTCAATTTCGCTGCCAATGTCCTCGGGGATACGTTCTGTCGATGGACAACAGAACCTGCGAGGATGTGAACGAATGCGAACTCGACAATCCTTGCTCTCACAACTGTTCGAACCGAATTGGCAGCTTCGAGTGCGTCTGTCCGGCTGGATATCGAATCGCCGAGGACGGGAGAATCTGCGAGGACATCAACGAGTGTATGCGGGACAACGGCGGATGTTCGCATCTCTGCGCGAACACGGAAGGTGGGGTCGAGTGCGCGTGTTCGGAGAATTACGAGCTGAGGAACGACGGCAAGACGTGCGTCGAGACAAATCCGTGTTCCGTCGACAACGGAGGATGTTCGCACTTCTGTCGAAACGAGAACGGCCAGGCGTTCTGTTCCTGTCCCCCCGAAATGATTCTGTCCGCGGACGAACTGGTTTGCGATTACGAGAACGAATGTCTGACGAACAACGGCGGCTGTTCCCATCTGTGCTATCACGAGAACGGGAACGCGACCTGCGCCTGTCCCGACGGTATGATCCCGTCGGAAGATCCGAAGATTTGCGCGCCAGAAGACAGGTGTGCGATCGACAACGGCGGTTGCTCGGACATCTGCGTGTCCTCTTCGGAAGGTTTGGTCACCTGCGAGTGTCTCGACGGTTATCGTCTGTCCGCGCTGGACAACGCGACCTGCCTGGACGTCGACGAGTGTCTGGAGCTGCGGGACAATTGCACTCATCGGTGTCTGAATATTCCCGGCGGTTTCGACTGCACCTGCAACGTCGGTTTCATTCGGAATCCGCTGGATCCGGTTCTCTGCGACGACGTTGACGAGTGCGCGACCGAGAACGCGGGATGTTCGCACTCGTGCGTGAATCTGGTCGGCGCCTATCGCTGCGCCTGTCCGTCGGGACACGTTCTGGAATTGGACAACAGAACCTGCGTTCTGGTGGACGGTTGCAAGCGCGACAACGGCAACTGTTCTCATCACTGTCATCGGGAAGAGAACGGAGTTCCCGGCACACGCTGCTCCTGTCCGCTCGGTTACCGATTGAAGCGCGATCGGAGAACCTGCGAGGACATAGACGAGTGCGAGGAACTCGAGAACGACGTCCAATCCGGTTGTTCTCACACGTGCGTGAACACCGAGGGCGGTTATCACTGCGAGTGCCCGACCGGTTACATCCTGATGCCCGACGACAAGAAAACCTGCGTGGACGTGGACGAGTGTCTGACCAGTCGCCACAACTGCACCCACGAATGCGTGAACCTGCTCGGCAGTTACGTGTGCACCTGCTACAAAGGTCACTATCTTCACTCCGACGAGTTCACCTGCTTGGACATAGACGAGTGTCGGGAGAATAACGGCGAGTGTTCGCACAACTGCACCAACACCATCGGCGGCCATTTCTGTTCCTGTCCGTTGGGTTACGAACTGTCGCGGGACGAGAAAACCTGCGTCGACCGGGACGAGTGCGCGATCGAAAACGGAGACTGTTCCGATCTGTGCGTGAATCTCGTGGGCGCTTACGAGTGCCGATGTCTCGACGGATATCGTCTCGGAAACGATTCGAGGACCTGCGTCGACGTTGACGAGTGCGAGAGCAACAACGGCAACTGCTCCCACGTGTGCGCTAACACCGCGGGATCCTTTCGCTGCGAGTGCCCGTCGGATCACGAACTGCGGAACGGTTCCTGCCGACTGTCCGATCCTTGTCGCGAGCGCAACGGCGGTTGCGAGCAGATCTGCGCCGCGTTGAACGGCACCGCGTTGTGTTCGTGCGAGAAGGGCTATCGCAAGGACGAGACCGACGGGGGGGGGTTCAAGTGTCGCGACATTGACGAGTGCACCGAGGAACGGCACGGTTGCGATCACATCTGCGTCAACAATCCCGGCTCGTACGAGTGCAGATGCGCGAAGGGATACCGATTGGCGAACTCCACCACTTGCGTCGGTGAGTTAAAGCAAAAATTGTCGAGTTCGAAGCGCATCTGTTTTATCTGTTTCGATGGGGGAGAGGGGAAGAAGAACGCGACTCTTTTGTCGTTCAAAAAATACGCTCAATAAAGTTTTATCTCACACCGAAAAAATTATATTCTTGTAAGTAGAAGATTTTATACTTAAAAAATCTTCTTCAAGATTTTAGATGATATTCTTCTGAAATTAAGAATATATTCTTTATTTTTAAGAATATATTCTTAATTTAAGAATATAGTCTTTTTCGATAGTGAGATATATATATGTTTTTCTATAGAGGCTTTTTATATTCTAATCAGTATATATTCTTATCAATATTACTATTTAGAGGATTTTCCTCTTAAAATAAGAAACTCTTCTTGGCGCCTATTTTAGTATAAAATATACTTAAAGTAAGTGGGATATCCTTAAAATAAGAATACAATTTTTTCGGTGCATTAATACGATAAATTAGTTTCTCCTTCTTTGGAAGAGACTCTCATAAGAGAGGTTTTGCAATTCGCGTTTCTTGAAACAGTTTTCAATTTACTTCAAAACCGTAGCGTTTAATTTTCCAAAGGTTTGTCATGTCTGGAAATTCAAGACGCGACTCCGCGGTTTCCTTCGCTGTTCTCTCTCTCTCTCTCTCTCTATTTCTCGTGTTCTAGTTCCGAAAACCCCGCTTGTGTAAAGTTAGACCCGCTTAGCGCGTAGCGGAAGTTTTCGCGCGCGCCTGCAACGTGTGTGTGTGTGTGTGTGTGAATGTGTGTGTAAAATTTTTTTTTAGACATCGACGAATGCGCGGCCGGTATCTGTAAGGGCAACAAATGCACCAACGTGCCGGGCGGTTATCGTTGCGAGTGCGAGGCCGGATATCGATTCCAGGGCGATGCCTGTGTAGGTTCGTGCCGAGAAACGTTTTCGTGAAAAAAAAAAATAAAAAAAAAAAATAAAAAAACTAAAAAAAACGATGTCGCTTAATCGTACTGAACCGAGTTTGCTTTTGCACAGACATCGACGAGTGTGTCGAGAAGGCGCCCTGCAGCGAGACATGCGTCAATACGCTCGGTTCATATTACTGTACATGCCCTACCGGATTTCGACGACACGGAGATGAATGCGCAGGCAAGTGTCAAGAGAAGTAGAAAAATAAAACGCTTGTGTGTGAATTTGAAAAGATTATCTTTTTTTTTTTTTTGTTTTGTAAGAAATAAGAAATTTTGTTTCAAGTGTTACGCGAGTTCTAGAAAAACTCCAATGTAATATAATAATCTGTGTCATTTATTTTTGTGTTTCCAACATATAACGTATTAATTCTCTCTCTACACACACACACACACACACATACACACACACGTGTCTTAGACGTCGACGAATGCGAGGTGTACAACGGCGGTTGCGATCAGACGTGCATCAATACCGTGGGATCCTATTTCTGCCGCTGCCACGCGGGATACGCGATGATTTCGAGGTAAGAAAAAAAAAAAAAAAACGCGAATAATGCGTTTATTGCCGCGGTAATTAAAAAAGCGGCGGCAAGAGGCCGAAGTTGTGTTTGAATTTCTCTCTGACTCTGACATATATATATATATATATATATTTTCTCATACCGCGCCTTGCACCGGAACCGCATAAACAGGACGCACTGTCAAGACGTGAACGAATGTCTAGACCGGAACGGAGGTTGCGGCGGCGAGTGCATCAACACCGTCGGAAGTTACTACTGCGCTTGTAGCGAGGGCTTAATGCTGGGACCCGACGAGAGTACTTGCGTCTCGCTAACGTCGGGTTGTCGCGCAATGGAGCCGCCCTTACACGGAGAGGTGCGAACCCCGCCGCGTAGAGATGTCATATATAAGCTATATATCAGGTGCAACGACTTCGAGTCGCTACTGCGAATCGATAAAACTGAAATATTACCGAAATACCAGGCGGATGGATTTATTTACGCGCGCAATCGATATTAATCCGTTTAGAATAGTATTTACGTTCGTCTCGCGCTTTTGTTATTATATTAATATATAAATAATCTTGATATAAAATTTTGAACTTTGTTACACCGAAAAAATTGTATTCTTGTTTTGAGGATATCCCACTTACTTTAAGTATATTTTATACTAAAATAGGCGCCAAGAAGAGTTTCTTATTTTAAGAGGAAAATTCTTTAAATAGAGTAATATTGATAAGAATATATACTGATTAGAATATAAAAAGCCTCTATAGAAAAACATATATATATCTCACTATCGAAAAAGACTATATTCTTAAATAAAGAATATATTCTTAATTTCAGAAGAATATCATCTAAAATCTTGAAGAAGATTTTTTAAGTATAAAATCTTCTACTTACAAGAATATAATTTTTTCGGTGTAGAAAATTATTGAAGAGACAAACATTGCGAGAAGTCGAGTAATAAATTTTTTTTAAGTGAATTAGAATAATCAAAAAAAAAAAAAAATTAATGAAGTAATTAAATTTTACAGTAAGTTTAGAGTGTGAGAGTTAAAATTAGCGCTCAATTACAAAAGGAGTTAAGAGGCAAAATAATGTCCTCGCTGAGACGTGGGTGTGTGTTATTCAACGGGTTATTCAACGGGTCTCGTTTTCTGGGTCTAATCGAGCAGATCAGATGTCCGGGTCACCCTTCCGGAGCGTCCTGGTACCCGGCCGGTGCCAAGTGCCATATCCGATGTCGCGGCGAATTCCGACTGGAAGGAGCGCATGCGAGACATTGCGTTACCGGCGGCCAATGGGACGGGGAAGAGCCTATCTGTCTGCGTGAAGTTGCGACGGACTCTCCTTACAATTCAAGTAACTCACTCCTTCTGCACAGTTAACAAGAAAAACGCTGCGGGGCTTCGCCACGCAACTTCAACTCCGTGTAACTTAACTTCACGAAGCAAAAAAAAAACAATAAAAATTCGCAAAAAAGAAAAAAAAAGAAAAAAAAACGTTCGTTCCCGCAAAACTTTGAACAAATTGCTTTTTTCCGTGTTGAAGCGGTGTATTATATTTAATTATCTCTTGAACGTATTTCAATCGGTCGGGAAATCCCGGGTTCGTATTATTATTTTCGAGTTAGGAAATTTTTATCTCTCGGAGATACAAGGATTTCGCTAAATCCACGCCCGCAACATTTTTCCCCGAGACTTACGGTTGCCGCTGCTGCCTTTAAAAGCACGTTAGTGAGAACGTAAAGTAGGACGTCTGCTCTCTCTCTCTCTCTCTCTCTCTCTCTCTCTCTCTCTCTTACTCTTTTCATTGAATTTTCTTTCCGTAGTCTTTCTGTCTATCTCTTTCCTTCTCGCGCGCTCAAAAACGTTGTTCTTTCCGATCTACGTGAAAACGTAACGTTCGAGACGTTACCTACGATCGAATTGTGAAAAATATCGTCCGAGTTTTCGTACAAAATGCTCTAAATTGCGAAAATTCTCGGACACGTTGAATTGGTCATGCAGCGCGCGCGCGGAACCACCTTTTAATATTACAAAGTTCCTTGTGCAGAGGAGAGGCCGCCTGCTAACGAGATCATACGTTAACGCCGCCTCTTAACGAGCTTAGCCGGAGCCGACGGCTTTTTATGTTCCGCTCTTTTCCTCTTCTCCACGTTCGTTTCGCCCTTTGCCCGCTTTTTCATCCCTGCGCGCACATTTTCGCGGTTCTTTCCTAGCCGCGCTAATTGTTTCGTTTAACGGAAAGGAGATTTTGATTCCAACGCGTTCGTTTCAGGCTCTCCTGCGCCATTGTATTTCGAAACCAACTTTTGCTACCGACTAATTTACATTAATTTGTTTCGCGATTATTATTCGTACGCGCGCGTGTGAATACCACGCAACCGCGCGTGGTATTTTTTTAATATGTTTCTAGAACGTGTTTCGATCGCGATAGATAAGCGAATAACGAGAGATAACGCTTCGATTATACTATCTTCGATAGTTTTTAATTAAAAAAAACGTAAACACAATTTCACATAACGTGGTCATCATCAAAGGACTCTCTGTGTTCAAGGGAATATGCAACAGGACGCGCGCGATTGTTATTATTGTATCCGGTGATAAAGAGGAAAGGAAACGGCGATGAGATTGTTTTTTTTTTTTTTTTTTTTTTTTTACACGCAACGTGATATATTTTCCGATATAAGAGCGACGCTTCTTAGGAACCCTCGTGCTCTGATATTGCGCGCCCGTACGTAATTTCTTATTACGTTACGCGCGAGCGCGAGGAATCGAGAGAGAAAGAGAGAGAAGAGAGGGAGGAGGGTTGTATCGGAAATTTAACAATCGACTTCTCACTGCCGTAGACACACCGCGACCGTTCGTGAGCTGCCCCCAAGACATGGACGTCGAACTGCCGTCCAGACGTAACACGATACGCGTAACTTTCCCACAACCCAAGTCCAACATGAATTGGTGGAGGTAAGAAGCACCGTTGTACCGTATTATTCATTATCCCGGGAACGGGAGGGGAAGGGGAGGGGAAGGAAAACGCGCAAGTTTTTTCTCGCAATTTTAACGCGCGACAATTTGCAATTCTTTTTCGCCACCGTCCGCGGTGGCGTTGGAATAATTAATGGACCATCATAGAGATATATATTTTTTTTTTAATTATTTCGCTGACGCGCACCTAATTACCACCACCACGACTTAATTCACACACGGGTTTAACGATATAATATTTTTCAACATTATTCGCGCGCGTTAATGTTCGACGCGTTGAGTTCGGCGCGCGAGATACCACGTTCACCTACACGGGGTTACGCCACTGGGACTCTCTTTTGTCTCTCTCTCTTTTTTTCCTGTTTCTTCTTTTTCAGATACGTACACGCCTCACCCCCGTGGGCGAAGCAATTGCAAGCGGATCTGCCGGCGGGTACGACGATCGTTACCTTCACAGCATGGTCGCCGGTCTCTAATTACACCAGCACCTGTAGGATCGTGATAAGAGTTCGCGGTAAGTCTCGCGTATAAGAGCGAAATCAAGAATAAAATTCGCTCCGAGGGAAATGGATCTCGCGCTCGCGCGCGCGCGAGAGAGAGACCTCCTTTTTCTCACGCTAAGCACCGACGAGCACGCGGCGAAATATATAAGGGTGAAAATAACGTTTATAAACACAAATACACGCGCAAGAAGTTAATTTCGCTTGCTTTTTAAGCGCGATGTGTTTCGCGTTTTACACATTGACATTTTTTTTCCTTCGCAGTGACATCGTCGTCGTTTTTAAGAGCGCAAGCTCTGTGCAAATTAATGCAAAAAGGAATGAATTTCTCTCGTTTTCTTTAACGTATTTTAATTAAAAAACAAATTTTCTCTGACTCGATTGACTCTTCTTTGAAGTTCGACGTAAGCCAATTAAGAATTAAAAAAAAAAAAAAAAACGGAGATAAAAAAATAAAGAAGAAGAACAGCGCTCTCCCCGCGAGATATCGTTCGTTAATTTTCGGGGATAATGAAATTCAAAATCGAAATTTGCGGCTCGCTCGTCTCTCTCGCGCGCGCGCGCGCGCGAGAAAACGTCATTTCTTTAAATACATCAATTTTTTTTTTTTTTCCACGGAAACTTTTCACGCGCGGGAGACAATCGATCGGGAATTGGTCGGCACTCGATTCAACCCCCCCCCCCCCTCGATGCGGTAAACTTTAGTTTCCGCGGCAAAGTGCACTTCGCGTCCCGTCCCGTCCCGCTTAATTACTCATTCGGAAAGTTCGTGAAACTCGCTTTAAGCAACTTCCCTCCCGCAAACGCGGCGGCTGGGAAGAAGAAGCCCCCGCGTCAGTGCATCTCGCCCGTTAGTCGATATGCGATTACGCAGAATAAACTCGCGCCGATCGGACAAACTCGCGTCCGGGGGGGCGGGAGAGGGGTGGAATTTCCCCGACGTTTCTCTTGTGGAAATACTCTTCTAATGGCTCAATAACCGCTTTACTTTCCGCTCGAAATGTCCGCGCTTCCCCTCTTTTCGATTCGATCAATTACGCTTTCTCCGACGCTTCGTCTAACCTGGAAAAACGTCACGATACATTTTTCAGACACCGAGAATCCCAAAGTCACAATGTGCCCCACGTCCTTCGAAGTCAGACTTAGTCCAGGCGAACGGAACCGTTTGATATTCTGGCAGGAACCGACATTTACCGATAACGTCGGCGTGGAGCACGTTTACAAGACGAGGGTACGTATATCAAAGATCTCTCTCTCTCTTTCTCCGTGTGTATATTTCCCCCCGTCTATATTTCATATCAATATTCGTTTCTGATATGTGCGGCGACGTTACGTCTGTCGAATATTTTCCGCAATTTTCCGTAAATGTTTGCGCATTCGCATAACGTACCTTACGTATGTCGCTTATGCATCTTTGATATATTGCGAATCGAGTGAAATTCCCTGGTCTCTCTCTCTCTCTCTCTCTCCCTCTCCCTCTCTATTCTCTCTCTCCCTCAAGAGGTTAATTAAACGCGCACCTTACGCCCGATGACAATCGAGCATATTAATCGAGCGTAGCGATGGTCCATTAATTATCCCACTCGTGTTTCTCGGAGAAAATGAGTCTCGCGAAGAAAATGCATCGCAGCGAAAAGATATTCGCGCGCGCGCACGCTTTTCTTCGCGCGCGCAAGGAAAAACCAGTTGGACGATTAATCATTGTCGGAGTCCCGACGGGGGCTGGCTGGCTGCTGCCGCCGCCACCACCACCACCGTCTTCGTTTTATAACTCGTCCGGCGTTTCGCCGTGAAAAGGGTTGTACATGTACTTTATTAACGTAATAACAGAGATTACCCTGTCCGCGCGATAACTCGCGGCGCGGATAATTGGCGGGGCTCGCGCCACGTATTCTTTCGATACTATATATCCGGAGGAGTAACAAATGATCTCGCTAACATAACGCGCGATCCCCGACAATTTGATCTGATTAGGCGAAATTGAAACGCGAGCGATAACTAAATTCGTAATCGCTTTGATGACCGCTTTGATGTCAAAAACGAAACAAAAAAAAAAAAAAAAAAAAAAAAAAAAAAACAAACAAACAAACAAACTTTAGCCGCGCGTTTACATATGATCAAAACCCGATAATTGCGCATCGCGTCCAATTTACTAGGGATAGACTGAAATTTCTCGAACTACGAGAGAGAGAGAGAGAGAGAGAGAGAGAGGGTTGATGTTCTCGCACATACGCAGAAACGGCATTCAACAGTGTTTTCCTCGAAGGAAATTTGCATGCGATCGTGCGAAAAGTTAATTATCGTATATCTCGCACAGACACACACACCCAAACACGTGTACATGTATTATATACACAGGGTCCCGGACACGTGATGTATCCCGGCATTCACAACGTGCGCTACATCGCCTCGGACGCAGCCGGAAATCGAGCCGAATGCCATTTCTCGATACACGTGAGAGGTAAATTTATGCCATTGTGCCCGCGAGAGAGACCCCGAAAAGGTTTCACACACAGCGAACAAAGTGAGTGGAGCGCCGGTGTGACGCCACGCCAACGCGCGTATGACACTGTGTAAATTTTCCCTCTATAAAATAGATTCCCTCCGTGTGTGAAATATTATACATTTTATCTTTTCCGACGCGTATTAACCCAACACGAGGGAGGCAATTTTTCCTGATGACCGAAAATCCGTATCCGTTCGTTTTTTGCTTGCAGAATCCCAGGACGTTCGCGACTCCGAGGTGAGTGCGGAAGAAATTATTCTCTAAATTTGCGTTCGTCGAACAACGATATATATTTATATTCGCTTTGTTTAGACGCCAACGAGAGAGAGAGAGAAACGCTCTCTCTTTGATATATAAAAAAATCTCCAAAACCTCTCTCTCTCTCTCTTTACGCTGTTTTCTATCCGACAGGGTTTTTTGCCTTTTGGCTCGAATTGTGAAATATGTATACACCGAAAAAATTTTATTCTCGTAAGTAGAAGATTTTATACTTAAAAAATCTTCTTCAAGATTTTAGATGATATTCTTCTGAAATTAAGAATATATTCTTTATTTAAGAATATAGTCTTTTTCGATAGTGAGATATATATGTTTTTCCACATAGAGGCTTTTT